TTTAAAGCGCCATTCAAATATGTTTTGAGATAAATTCCTCTTTCTAAATAACTTGTTGAGCTGAAAAACCCGATTCACGGCCATTAATGCATCAAAATCCGCTCACCTGCTCCGTATGGTACTCCCCTTTTGAATTCTGGTCAACCACGCATTCAACGGCCAGCGAAATAGCTATAAAAGCGAAAAGCAGAATTATTACAATTTTCAGCATCAAGATGACGGGGGGCCAGAGTATCGACTGACTGGGAATTAAGCGCATTACGGGTGTGTGATGCCGGGAAAGGTTCATTTTGATAAAGGGAGCCCGGGGTCTACAGGGTTAAAGGACATGACTTCGGGCTGTAAAATTTCTATATTCGTATTGTGCTTATTCATTCTTTCCGTTGCAACTTCTAGTTATCCAGGTGGCAATTATACTGGAGATGTTTGTGGAGATTGTAAGTGCACTTTTTAGCATTTTTCTCTAGCTAAAATACTAGGCTTTGTGTTTTTAAACACTTTCGATGAAACCCCCAGAGGAAAAACGGGGCAGAGGGGGCGCCGGGGGGCGGCGGGCCGGGCCCCCCCAACCCCCGGTGGCCACCATATTTAAGGTATCCTTTTTAGTTTATTAATAGTTATTTTTTTAGTATCCCCATTCGCCGACAAATCCATCTGCGTCACGCAATATAAGCTCTTTGTCTACTTACTATTAGAATGCGAACCGGATGTCAACGCGCATTTAAATATGGTCCAAAGAATAATGGCCCAATGTGTGGAAACTGATGAGGTTTTGGGTAAAAATCAGAGGTAATAATAGCAGATTGTTAATACTCCGTTACCTGTCAACTTTAGTGTATTTACCATCGTCGACCAATCTGACACTGATCACACCTTTCTACCAATGACCGTCAGCACCGATCGGCAGGCAATAATCCAGAATTTCCCCTCGATTCCATCGATTGTTCAAGTAATACAAATTTTTGAGGAATTCCATTATTTTTTATTATTTTAGTGATACTGACCTTGAGCTTTTACTTGATCAAATCCAATCCATCCTCCACAGCCCTGTTGCTGTAAAGAAGGACTATCAAAATGTGCTGTTTGTTATTACAAATGTTGGATCAGGAAATTGTAAGTTTAAAGTGAAAGCCAAAGCTTATGCCTAAGCCCTGCAATGAATCGCAAAGCCTCGATTTGTAGTCACCCAAGTGAAGTCGGATTTCTTTGACCAATTGACCGGAATCATAGAAGGAATGCCGCCGGATAGTTTTTACACGATCGTCCGATTTTTGTGGACTCAGGTAGGTAAATGTTGGTGGACCCATTTGACCTTCCAGGCCGATTTACTGAGAGAAGAGGACAACACCACGCTACAGAAGATCGGCGAGCTCAGCGACGTCGGACAATACTTTGAAGCTGTATGTTCTCGAGCCCCCTGAACGCGAGAACCGCATTTTTAAGTCTGCTGAGGACTACTTGAATGATATTGCAATTATGGATACCTATGGCATGTGCCCGCCGATGCCGGCAGGTTCGTTCGGGAGAGGTTTGCCGGCGTTGTTTTCTTGGATTAGGGTTCGAAACCCGGTATCTTATGTCGTTTCCATAAGTCGACGTTTGTAAGGCAATTTTTAGGGAAACTCCCCTCGTTTTCAAAGCCCTCCAAGAAATTCCCAGTTTGGGAGATCGTGCTCCTTTCGCTGCTCGTTTTTTCTGCAGCCTTAATCGGGGCCGTCGTTTGCTTCTGCTGTTGGTGTCGACAATGTTGTTGGTGGCCAAATTTGCGCGGGTGGGTCGTCTATCTTTATCTTTGACCCCCATTTATACCCTGGTCCCTAAGTTTCCCAAAAGATCCATCGAAAAAACCGAAAAGCTTTTTTTTCAGAATCGATTGGACCGATCCGAATCTAAAAGAAGTAATCAACGACCGAGTACAAGTCGAGTCTGACCGATTCCAAAAATACATGGCAAGAATGAAGAACGACCGGAGAGTGGTATCTGGAACAACACGTCCTTAATCAACAATTTTTAGTCTCAAACGATGAGCTTTACATTCAAAGATAGTTTTCATCGAGTGGACAGCAAAACGTACGGCCATACTTTTAAGGGTTGACATTATTTTAGCAACGATTCCGTGTGGGAAGTCTCTGCTAATAATCTGCAAATATTCGAAGAAAAGCTTGGCTCCGGCGCCTATGCTACGGTATACAAGGGTCATCTTTTGGGAAAACCACCAGTCGCGAAAGTCTATCCCTCGATGCAGGTAGAAAACTACAAACTACGAGAAACAGATGGTTTTTAGCTATCTTACATTCTATCAAACGAGGCAAATTACGTGGCGGTGAAAACTGTTCATGGCTATTCGACGGCAGAGGAACGGTACAAGATGATATCGAAATCCTTAGGAGAAACCCATTTTAGAAAGGAATTCCTGCAAGAAATCGAATTCATGAAGAAGCTGGAATATCACCCACATATTCTATCGTTAATTGGGTGCTCGAGTGACGCGAAATTTCCGCTGATTTTGACGGAACACTGTGAATTGGGCGACCTTTTGACATTAGTGCGGAAGTTGGGGGCACAGTATGCAAATGAGGTTGAGGAAGCGGATTTTGAAAACCAGCAAGACGAGCTTTAGATAAAAATTCTCGAATTTAACGATCTTGTTCCAATTGCGTGGCAAATCAGTGATGCTTTGGTAAGCTTTTCCAGTAAAACTAAATTACTTTCAGATAACGAAATAACAGTATTTTTAGACTTTCCTCGCCAGCAAACACATCATTCACCGCGATGTTGCAGCGAGAAATGTGCTGCTGAATAAACATAAAATGGCTAAAGTAACCTAACGTGACTCAATGATTACAAAAACGAAATCTAGCTCTCGGATTTCGGGCTTTGCCGACATTCAGAAGAACTCTTTTATCACAGTCGCGGCGGGAAACTACCCATCAAATGGATGGCCCCAGAATCGATTGAATTTGCCAATTTTTCGACGAAATCTGATGTGTAGGTGCAAATTTTTCGAATTTAGACTTTTTTAACTTGCAGCTGGTCATTTGGCATCCTCCTCTACGAAATGTATTCATTTGGCAAAACGCCATTCCATTCGCTGAATCAAGAAGATGTTCTACCCCATTTAAAATCGGAGAAACGACTGATGATTCCAGAAGACACGCCAGAATGGATGTAATTAGGTGTCCGTCGAAAACTGCATCGTGTTTAGCGCTAAAATTTGCAATGAGGCCTGGCTGGAAGCCCCTGATGACCGGCCAAACTTTTGCCAAATTTCGCTGCGCTTCTACGATGAGATGGAACGTAATAGTGAGAAATATGGGTACCTGCAGTTCAGGTTAGAAGTTAGGAATACAGCGAAATCCTGTATTTAGCAAAAACTACTACAAAATGGACTACACGATGGCTGCAGTATAAGTGCCGCCACAAACCTCGATGACCAAGACTTCGTCATAATTCCATTGATTGAGTTAATAAAGATCAATGCGATTGGTTCTTTCCAATGTCAATTTCTGAGTAAAACCGTTGTGATTTCAATTGAAGCTTAAATACCTGGGAACATTGGGCAGTGCTATTATGATCAAATGGTGAGATACACCATTACCTGACTGTAACCATCTTATGGTCGAAGTGGAAATTCGTTTCGTCAGATATCACACCTTGTGCAGAATTTTTCGCTGATTCCGAATCCGTTTTCAAAAGTTGCGGGACCCCTCAGATTAAAAAGTTACAAGGGTTTTCAAGACCCAAAATGCCACAAATCTCTTACTTTAAAGCGTTCTAAAAATTCCGTAAAATACTTTTGGTGGGAGAGTAAAGCGGTAGGCGGTAGGCCACCTGACGGCTGATAGACAGCACTGGCTTCCAGGCTTTCCGATTACTAAAATTTTGCGTGGCCTGTGTCTTTGTTTCTCGGCTTCCGTTCTGCGGGCAGGTTTATATGTATTTGCAGGTTTCATCTTCCTTACTAACTTTCTGGATTTGCTATCATAATCTCGAAATTCATAGTGCTAAAACTAATAACGTGCGAATCTCTATTGTAGAAATTTCAAAATATCGTATTTTTTATAGAATTTCGGGGCATTTGGGGTTTTGCCGGGAGATTTGCTTACGTGAAATTCGACGTTATGAAAGTTTTACACCTCGTTTTTATGTGTATACGACAACTTCTCATCATAGCTTGGGTCCGAGGCCTTGGAATTGCAGCTGGGGCCAAGGACGGCCCGCCCCCCGCAACACCGGCTTTATGTGCGCTTTTGCCTCGGCTTTTCCCTCCGTCACTAGGGCCAAGGGCCAAAATGCAGAAACTTGGCGCCCCTACGCCCGCTATTTTTGCTTAATGAATCTCACTCATCGTAAAATCCACTCAAATATATGCTCTCACACTGACTACCGATTAAATTAAGCGTCTTAGCCTTTGGCAAAGTAATTTTTCAGACAATGGACTTTCTCGGACTGCCATCTACCTTTCACTACGATCTCCTGCAGTACCTCGACGTCAGATCGCTGGCGCGCTATGCGTTCAGCAGCAAAACGCTCCACCATTACGTCAGCACCGGCCAGAAGCGATACGCACACCTTTCTTTGATGTGCGTGAAGAACCAGCCGCTATGGGCATTTGAACAGGGCGATGGGCGGACCAGCTGCTACTCCATCACCTCCCTCGCCACCCAAGAGCTGTTGTTCTCAAAAGCCATCGTCAAGGATCTGAACCTAAATGCGGTAGATTGCCAAATCCCAGGACTACAAGCCCACAACCTGGAATTGCTCGAGACCACGGGCTCGCTGGATTTACTGGAGCGTAGTCGCCCTCGAAATGGTGGCTATCAGCGCGTCTCTATCGGAACGTTCAGCCCAACCCCGGAGATTTGCCGCTTTTTGACGGAATCGGTTGGCGAGGTGCGCGTGATTGGTGGAGAAGCGCCAGGAATCTATGCACAACTCCAGAATCGAAAGATCGCGATCGAGGCCTGTGCCGATGTGCCAGAAAGATGCCTGGATTTAGCGGAAAAATTTCTGGCTGAATGGAAAAGCGGCGGGAGGGAGATTGAGAGGATCTCAATTGATTTCAGCTACGAGGACGCGAATGCCCACGGCAATACAATCCACCGTAGGAAGGGTGGTGAAAAAGTCATGGAAATCCGCGAAGTGACGGGTGTGGTGTTGCAGTCGATTGAATGATATCATCTAGTGTCTCGACGCGTCTTTTGCAAAAACCTGCTCTTTAGCGGCGCATGAACTTGGACTTGATTTTTCTCGATCTCATCTTAGAATCATCGATTGTTTTCAAACAGATAAACAACTTTCCAAAAAAGAATTATTGCATTGCAGTAATCAAATTACACTTTATGACTATTATCACAAACAGTTTGTGGAAATACAGTGAGTGACTAAAACGAGCAAAACAAAACCAGAAAAAGAACCACAGACACACAAAAGGAAAGAACGGAAGGGGAAAAAAAAAAAACGAGAAAAAAACAAAACCAAACAACAAGGAGGAAAACACCAAGGAAGAGAAGCGAAAGACAAAACAAACAACAACAACCCCCGGAAAAACCAGGAAAACAGAAAGCCAAAAGCCCTTCAGTATATAAGCTTGGCAAATAGCAACAAAAATAGCCTTGCGTTAATCGCTAATGACATTTTTACCGTAGAGCTTCATCGATTGTACCTTTTTGTGAAAGGAACTGTGTGAGACGCCCGGCCAGCTGGGGCCTGTAGTCTATTTGCCCATCCTCAAGCAGGATTCCGCCCAAATCCAAAAGTCGATCCACAGCTGTGCGTACCCGGGCCATCCTTTTGCTTTCACGTGAGGTGGGAAGGTGTTTTGACAGCTTATCGTGTTTGTCTAGAGATTTACAACCCGCAAAGAATTAGGGCCCGCCTTTTCATAGCTCCTTTTGCTAGTCTTTCTCGATATGAATCTTCTGCAGCCTTGAAGCGCCTGATACCTTTTAACCTTTGGAAATTCCGTTGGAATCCATCGGAGAGAGCGAGGAGGACGAGACCTTTTGAAATGACCACGTGACGAGCCTCTCACCTCAAAATGCCAGCTGTTGCTCCCAGCCAAAAACCGAGCCGGAGTGACCGCGATCTTACTTCCGCATCAGCAAACTAATGCTTTTTATCTAGAATCCTTGAAGCTGAATGAGTTTTTTCTCCCTCCGAAATTTTTTTCTTTTTTCCCCTGTTTTTTTTTTTTTTTTTTTTCGTTTTTCCTTTCCTTTTTTTTTCTTCTTTTTTTTCGTTTGATTTCCATTCAGTTTCACAATTTTGAACTTTTATGCCGTTAATTAGACCCTTTTCAGAAGATGCACTTCCTCCAGCTGCCCCTCGAAGTCCACTACCATCTGCTCAATTTCCTGGATCTTAAATCGCGCTCTATCTACTCCACTACATGCCGAAAAGTTCACGCTCTCATTCAAGCGGCTCCACAAAAAATTCTGGAGGTCACCCTACGCCCTGAATCCAAAAAACTTTGGGTCCAACAAGGACCCGTGAATTCCCGGATCACGAATGCTATTGTGAGTCAAGAAACAAAAGACCAACTATTCAGCGATACTACTGTAGCCGAAATAATTTATGATTTTGGCTCAAAATTGAATATTGATGGCCTTAAATCTGGGCATATATGGCTGAAAACGTCGGACGGTGATAGTCTGGCTAAGCTTCGACAACACAAGCCGGCCGGAAAATTCGAAATGTTAGAGCTCAGTGATCTGGAGGGCTTTGAGCCCGAGCTTTGCGAATTTTTAGACGCCGAGACCGCGATATTACAAATCGATACCTGGAATAACCTATATGGGTGCTTGGCCCTGAAGCATCCAGTAATGGATATTATCGAATACTGTGATCAAGATGAAGCTGTCGAAATTTTTGGAGATGTGCTGGTGGGAGAGTGGTTGGCCGGAGAGCGCGAGATAGAGAGTGTGGTGGTGGCGTGTAATCACCAGAATCCGGATGTGGCTCCGAGAGAATGGGAACGAACGTATACGAGGGATGATGGAAAGCGGTTAGAGGAAACTGTTCATGGGGAGTTTTACATATGGAAGTTGATTGTTTGATTTGGTTTTTGCAATCTTTGATGATTTGCTCTCTTCCTCCCTCTCTCTCTCTCTCTCTCTCCCTTCAAATTTTTGATGCATGAATTTGATCCAAAGCCGTCCGGTGAAGCCATTTTCCTGTAATTTTACGAATTATTTGTGTGGTTCGTAACGTGAATCTCAATCTCCGAAATAAAGATCTTCGTATTGATCAAATTTAAGGGTATCGCACTTACAAAACAAAAATGCATAAAAAGAAAATGAAACTAAAAAATTAGCCAAGAGAGCTAGACCAAAAAAAATTAGCCTAAATCTAAGACTCAGAGATGTGTGTGAGTGAGTGAGAATGAGAGAGATAGAGTGAGAATGAGAGAGAGCAATGCCTAGTGACAGAGAGAGACAGGCTTGAAAAGCCCACTTGCTGGCTAGTGGCCAAGTGTAAAAAGCAGCTGGTAGACAAACGTCTGCTGGGATCCGGGGATGCCCATCTTAACGATTTTTAGTGTTTCGCCTTCAGCGGCTATTTTTAGAAATATCTTATCATCTAAAGCATAATCGAAATCAAAACAAAATCCGTTTCAGAAAATGAAACTTCTCAACCTCCCCGCACCCGCTCACGACCGGATTCTGAATTTTTTGGATCTACGATCGCTATCAAGATTTTCGAGGTCATCAAAAATGGCTCGACGAGTCGTGGAGAATTCCGCAAGGATCTATCTGGATATTTTATTTGCCGCAATTTCCAAAGATACCTTCACGATTTTCGAGAAGATTAACGACCAGTTGGTTTTGCACCATTCTTGGAGGGGGAATGCAATGGATTTCCTTGCCCGGAAGATTATAGTGGACGAGATTGAACTTCACGATGACGATATACCGCCAGTGAAAGCTCTTGCCGTCCATTTCAAGAGAAAGTCTCAACGTAGGCTGGAGATTCTCAAAAAATTAAAATGGGAAGCCAAGTTCCAGTGTCTAAAATTCCATCATCTGTCGTTGACTCCAGAGTTTGCGGCCTATTTGAACGGTAATACGGAGCGTATCGTACTCTACATAGAAGAAGACTTAATCGGATGTCTTTCTCTAAAATTACGAAAAATAACGATCCATCTGGTCCACGGAAGCTCGATCTCAATCAAAGAATTTTCGACTCGGATTCTGGAAGACTGGCAGAGCGGACAGCGCAACATTTTGGAAGTTAAAATCATCGATTTTTCCAAGGAGTGGCCGGATAGGACGTTGGCCTATAGGCGACAATATGGAGGCGTTCCATATGAGATTTGGAATCGAAGCTCGGTGACCTGGACCACGGATCCACGACGGAAGGATGTAACAAAGGACTTCCACCTGAATTCGGAATAAATTTGCTTGCAAGTTGTCAACGAAAACATCGCAATCAATCAAAATCACATCCGAAATATCATTTCGTCGAAAATCATCCCTGTCAACGTTTAATTTTGTCGAAATTGCGAATTGCAGAAGTATCAATTTGTTGGGATTTTAATGCCATTTGCGCCTCAAGGAAATTTTGAAAATCCAAATTTGAGCGCCATGATATTGCGACAGAATGTGATTTCAACAAAATGAAAAATGAAATTTCGGCCAAAGTATTTTCGACAAACTCATAGCAAATCGTTTTTGATCTGTATCTTCGTAAAATAATGATGTGGTGCTGAGGTGGAAATTCGTAAAGATTTATGTCTGCAGAAAACGAGATTATGCGCAAAATGACAACAATTGGAAATTTTTAACTTCTTCCCTCGCTCCTCGACAACCGTTCCATCAGCCCATCAACCTCATCGCTCAGGAAGCGATTCTGCGTGCTCAGCTCGCCAATGTGAGTGAAGAACTAAACGAAAGTCACGAAAATTAGCGATAACTTACCTTCTCCTGTTTCCGCTTCAGCTCTCGGTTTTCGCAGAGCAGCTGTTCGTGCGCTTCGTTGCCCCGATTTTGCTGCAACGCATCGGCAATGGCCTAAAATGTATGAATACGCTTGAAAATTCTAAAACTACTAAGCGTTGCTTCAAATCCTCAATTTCAGCTTCTTTCTCGGCCAGCTTTCCTCGCAATTGCTTGCACTCTTCGCAAGGTCGCAAATCCTGGAGTGAAATTTCATAAAAATACCGCAGAAAAAATATGCCTTTATGACCTCTGGCTTGACGTCTTCATGGGAAGTAGTCGGAACGTCATACAATTCTTGCAACTGCGGAAATAGAGGCTGTGGGAACGCTAAAAAAAATTAGGATTAAATTTCGAGCTTGTCAACCCACCCATCGGCGGATCTTGCATCCCGGAAGGCATTGTGTATTCACATCGGAATCCGGCGATTTCGATACTTCGCTTTACGCCCGGCATCTCGGCATCGGAACCCTGTAAAATTTTAACTATCACAGGTGGAACTAAATTTCACCCACCTCCTCACGCTTCTTCCGCTTTCTAGCTGCAGCTGCAGCATTCCGTTCACGTATGCCTTGTACAATTTTTTCATCCGGGGTTAACGGTGCCGGAGGTCGTGGGATTACTACGTCGCCTTCTCTCGGAATGAAGCTCTTGGAAAAATGTTCGGCGATATCGGGCGTGATATCAAAGAGTTCAACCATTTTGGCCTTCAGATCCTTGTACAGCTCCATGCTCCTGAAAAATTGGCGTATTCCTCTCGTCAATAACTACAAAAACATCGAAAATATCGCCTAGCATGATGTCAAAATTAAAATGAAACGCACCTATCAATAACTAGGTGATCCGCACACCTATGGTCTGGGCACTTTCGCGAAGAAATGCCAACGTGCTGCTTGGCCTGATGGTTGCACACTAAAAAGTGAATTTTGGAAGTTTTTCGTGAATAAATCTGATTAGTACAAACTCTATAAGGTTAATTACCATACCTGTACAACGATATGGCCTCCAGTTCATGTGCAAAAATGCGTGCAGTCCGAGGCTTCGAGAAATCTTATACTTCCCGAAATTCGTCTGTATCGGCCGACCACAAAACTGAAAAAATAGGCTTAATAAAGACTGCGCAACAACAACCCTGTTTAAAATCAAACCCACATTGCAATTCATAAAATCCGCGTCAACGACCACCTTCTTTCTAGTTTTTCTCGGCGTGCGCGAAGTAGATGGATTTAGGCTTTGTTCTCGGCTCGAATTATCCTAAACCCAATGGTAAACCTTCAATAGCGAAAAGGCCAACCGTATCTGGTTCGAAGAGCGGCTGAATGTCTGCTCCCGCCGTCCAATGACCCTAAATTTGGTGGTAAGATTCAAAAAATAGGAAAAACTAACCGGATTGAGTCCAAGGGCCATGTCCATCTTCTTCATCAGCGAAGCTGGATCGCTGGTTTCAGGCTCATCATCAAAGTCCTCATCCGGTATCTCGAAGGGGTTATCGCTAAAACTGAAAACTTAAGGTAATCGATAATAGTTGCTTACGATGAGCCTGGAGTATCTGGAACTTCTTTCTTGATTTGTCGAGTTGATTTTCTCATTCAGGTAGGTCGTGGATAGGGCCTGAAAGTAGATTTTAAGAAGTCCAAATTAAATCAACAAAGCATAAGTATTATTATTTGTTGCTAAAGAAAAGTGATAATTTAAACAGCAAGGCAGCAGCAACAAAAACATTTGAATGCGGAACTGGCGCCCTGCTCGGCCGGCCACCATCTGTCTGCTCAAAGTGCGCCCCAATGCGCGTACCTGCCCCCGAATTTGCCTCCCAGTCAAAGGGGAGAATTTACTAGCGGAGATAGATCTAATGAGGAAACTCGAAACTTTAATTTGAACAAGCAATGAGGAAAGACTATGTAGTAGGCGAAATCCCAAAATGCCTAGTCTCAGAGCATAGAATATTTACATAAGCATCCTCATAGATCACAAATCGTTGAATTGAAGGTAGGAAAATCTACACCGTCTGCAAACTTTTTCGAATGGAACATCTGCTACAGGTAATCGCTTTTCTTACTGGGAATGTATCCACTTAGTCAAAGAATTGAAGCATCAAATTTAACGCTAGACTCATAACCTAAACCTGGTTATGCCATTTCAGAGAATAAGACAGCAAGGCATTAAAGCAGTTATTTGTAATCCATACCACTAACAGGTTGCTGACTTGCTATCCTAGTGCTAACTTTTGATGTGTCATCGCGTCTGCTCAATATCATAGGCTCTGTTTGCAAAACATAACATTAAAAAGTATCGGTCTCTTCCTCCTCGCGTAAGCGACGTTGTGTTGGCCATTGCGAAGCCAATTGTTCGGCCTATCTTGCGGTTATGTGATGGTCGCATCACCCTGGACAATGTTTATCGACGTGTCGATCAAAATTCTAAAAGTACGGACTTGCCCGCCTATAAAAGCGAGTCTGATATCGGCTTGGTATGTATCACTAGGCTCGATGAAGGCGATTCTACTCCTGATGCTGGTCGGCGTGAGTCTCGGCTGCCCTCCTGCCGATTCCTCGAGCTCGAACAGCGGCGCTCCATCGTCGGGGAGTATGTAGTGTTCGCCTTTGCGTATAACATCTGCAGGACTTGTCAGCAATATCGTCCTACTGTATTCGATCCACCCGGCGACGAAATATGCGGGCGACACTAGCGATTCTCGCGCCGTTTCTGATTTCGAAAAAGCCGTACGTAATAAGTATAATATATCATACCGTTTTGTTTCTATCTGTTTGCATTTATTTTTGCAGGTGAAATCCGCGCTCGACAAGGAGCACATCACCTTAACAGAGGATCCATCGATCGATTTTGCAAACATGTTCACAAACACTGCGAAGAACCTTGAGACCACTTGTCCACCCACTGCTACTGATCTGACCATATTCCAGGAGTCTGGTGATTATATCGTCAAAGCATGCGGTCAGGGTGTCAGTTGGCCACCCGCGGGTAAGAATCTGCCACAATATATCTATGGATTTTCCGCAGTCCACATCCAGGTCAAACTGCCATACGCTGTAGGACAGACAATCCTCGAGCGGGCTGTTTCGGATGTAAGTGCAGTTATGAATTTGGCCAATAACTTTTAGCTAAAATCCGAGCTGAAGGGTGAGGCAGACATTATCGGTGGCTTCAACATTGAGGCCTACTCGTAACCAATTAAATCTTGCGGGATATTGGTGGCTATGAATAAATATTGCTTCTGAGCTAACCCATTTTACTCAAGTGACGTCCGGTATTTTGACGGGATCTTGAATCGTTCCTACCTTTGCAACAATTATCAGGTATTTAGAAAATGCCGAAATTTTCCATGGAAGTAAGGAAGACATATTAGGGCGACGCGTTGCTATGCAGGGACTTTTATCAAAAACCAAGCAGCGAATGCAAGTCGCATAAATTGTCAGAACGCCAACGAAGTGAAAGTAGAGCCTTGAAAGCGGTTCATCCTCGCAGCTCTGCCACTATCAATGACAGCTCCCATGAGACGGAGATACTACATTCTTCTAGACGGAACGCTTCCTCCCACGCCTTGTTTACACGCACGGCTTTGTCAAGGCCAAGGCTTGCGGCCTAAAGAACGATTTTCATACGAACAAATTGTTGCTATTGCTACAATGCAATAAAACGCGCGCGTGCATTGTGAAATGCTTGCATGGACCCCGAGGAGGATATTGAAAGTACGGAAATGCAAGATTATATAAGTACGCGGAATGCGATTGGAAAGATCACGTTGTGATGTGTCAGGGATTGGTTTTTCCGATTATCTTGGGATAATTTTCGTGGGGAGGGGTGGAGGGAGGGGGGCTTACTAACTTACTAAGGCTAAGTTAGCACAATTATCTACTTAGAGCAATTCGCTATAGTTATCGTTGATATCCTATAATTCTTAGTATTTTTTTATGCATTTTTCGAATGGCAAAGGTATTAGTAAAAACAGGAAAGTGACTTAATTACCGACTTCGAATAAGCTACGTTATCGGATACCTCTATGCTTCTATCTTTTATGTCATGCTTCTATAGACATCGATATTTACGTTATTTTGAGGTTTACTTTGAGTCATATTCAGCAACCTCACCTATTTTCAGATGCATCTCAGATTTACTGCAGCTGCCCTACTGCTAGTCGGATTCGTGACGGGTTGCCCGCCTGCCAATTCACGTAAATCCGATGGTGGTGGACGCCGTCGCGGTGGTGGTGGAGGTGGTGGCAAAACTCCCGATCGTAGGGTTCGCGCCTCTCGTCTATCGAATTGATATAGGGCTTGTGACGGAGGTGGTTTTGGAATACGAATTCCACCCGGCAACGAAATATGGGCCATCGAACACGAAGGCTAGTGCGGAATTGAATGTTCAGACCGCTGTAAGTGCGCTAGACAGGAAATTCCTGAAATCGGCAATGAAAGATTAAGAAGGGCGCTCTTTGTTCGCCATGGATGGCTGGATGAGTGCATATTCATTGAGTTCAGGTAGCAAACGCCTTCGAAGAAGAAGATATGATGCTGAAACCCACGGTGGCCGTAATTTTCAGCGATTCGTTTAAAGAAGACATGAAAGAAACCTCAGGCCATCCAGAGAAATGTGGAAATTCCCCTGATGCCGATCAATACATCCAGGATCCGGAGGGCCTATACTTCGTGGAGCCCTGTATTCCCACGGATGATTGGCCACCGACCAGTGAGTGCTCACAGCAAAACACAGCACCCTTTCAGTGACAATTAAATTCGGCCTCGAGGAGGAACACCCGACCTCCATTGTGAAAAAAGCTATTGCCGTGGTAGGTCTGCTATTTTTATTTTTTTTTTGCGTTGAAGGGCTGATAGACTTGGTATGGCGAAAACAAAACTTTATCCCACGTTTAGATGAAAGAAGAGCTCAAAGGCGACATGAAAATCGTCAAAATTATGGGAGAAGGATTTTCTTAACTGCCTTTGCGAATTTTCTAATAAAGGTATTGATTGCTGTGAGTTGTTAAGGGAGATCAAAAGAAGCTCGAGGATAGAGATAAAAGGAAGAGAGAGACAGAAAGTGAACAGAAACAGAAAAAAATTAAAGAAAGAATCAAAAAGAAGAACATAAGATCATTCAATTAGGCGTCAGAGAAAAGCAGCAGTGTGATATTAAATTCATGTGTTTCTGGCAAAATAATCAAAAGTGTGAGAGAGACAGACGGAGGGAGAGAGTGGGAGAGAGAGAAAAACTATCCACAGAAGCAAAGTCTTGTCATAGTATCCGTAGTCTATCTGACGAGTTTCCCCTCCTGGTACTCGACATCCGAGCGGCTGGTCAGGCTATGGCCAACGGTCTCCAGGGCCAGTTGGCGATCCCTAGATTTTGATATAAGAGCCAGGGAGGTCAAAATTACCTGACAAATTTGTAGTAGTTGAGGGTGATCCATCCGCGGAGGAACAGGAAGATCAGGGCCCCAACGGCGATGCTGACGGTGTCTGAAAATCGATGTTCTTGGGATTATTTTTTAATTTCAAGATTCCAAAGTGCTAAAAACTTACATCGAACCTGCTTTGGTGAATGCGGGTCTTCGTTGGCACGTGGGAAATCGGTGGCCTTACTAAAAAAAACGCGAAAATTACAGAAAATCTTTAGATAAGGTACCCCTCAGTGTCGGACAGGTAGATGAAGGTGTAGGTGAGGATGGAGAGGGTGAGGAGCACCAGTTGGACGATCTTAAAAAGGATGTAAAAGTTTAGGGTGAATTTTCTTACGTATGCCACTCCGTATGCCTGCATGAACATGGGCTTCTGGGTGATGAGGGCCATGATTCCGAGGAACATGATCGGGAGGCAGAAGGCGAAGATCATTGCCTGAAATGTATTAATTTTAAGTTATGAAAAGGGCGATGAAATATACTTTGAAATTGTCAATAGCCTTAAATTTAAAACCTACAGTAGGCAGTCGGGCATCGGGGGTTCCGAGGATCACGGAGAGGATTAAAAAGGCGAGGAAGACAGCATCAAGGATGAGGAAGACGGCGAAACCGATCTAATACGCGTATATAGCGACTTCTAGATTTTATGACATCTTTTTTTATGTTGAAATTGGCCAATTACATACCTTGGCTTTGCCGAGCTTGCAGCAGCAATGGTAGTTCTCCTCGCGGATCGGGGTGCGAGGGTGGATGTGCGTCGGATGCCAGCACCACATGATTGTTGATTGTTGGCTGTAAGAGAATATTATTAAAAATAGCTAGATCTAATACGGCGATAGAAAAAAGCGGGTTCAACGAGTTCAGAGCAAGTTAAATAGGATGGTTCGAAAAATAAATACAACTTTAAAAATCCCCTTTGTCAAGAGTAAAGAGAATTATCCGATCTTATTTAATAAAAATTACCTCTCTATTCTTAAACGCTAAAACTATACTAGACATCTTGAAAACAACGTTTTTTTATGAGAAAGCCATAAACCATCCAACTTTTTGATCCCAAAAATTTCAAGTATTTTAGGAAACATTAAAGAGAAGAAGACAGCTTTAGCCGCCAGGAACCGAAGATTCGCCGGATCGGACCGGTCTTATATAGGCGGGCCCCGGCTGGCTTGTTGGGCCCTGCCCCTCCGATGCACTTTTGTTGTTTTTTTCTGGGCCGGCTAGCCGATGGCATGGCATTGGAGACAACATGCCCTTTCCCTCTCGCGGCTGGGCTTTGGCCACTTCCAGACTCCCCTTTTGAAGGGAGAGCTGTGGAAAGACAGGTAAGCTTGTTGTTTTTAATGTTGCAGAAAGGGGGTGGAAAAGGTGGGCCTAGGTCAAATAGAGCGCGAATGTTGGCACAGGTGCGAAAATACGCTTTAGGCGGGTTCTAAACGGCGAAAATAGCCGAATTTCAGCAATTTCAAGGTGTTGCTCGCGCTCATGCTCACTCCCGCTTCTTAAGGTCACGGAACCCAGAAACACGAGAATACGAAAATGTAGAAAACTAGCCTAGCTAAAAAATAATTTTTTTCAGATTAGAAGGTTATATTTTCTTAAACCCTAGATGCTATTGGGGACAATTTACAGGAGTCTAAAATTTGCAGTTTTACCACCATAAAAAAACTTTGATTTTTAAAATTTGGTAAAATACGATTCGAAACCGATCCGAGAGAAAAAATTGTTCTACATTTAGTGGCGATTAAAACTCTTATTTAAATTTGTTTAACACCAAGCCGGGTGCATGAAAATTATTGCGCAAAAGTTTCGATTGTAAAACCTTTTAAAGATTTAATTTCGGACAATCTAGCCTTCTGGTAAAGGATACAAGTTCAAAAAGCTGCAAAAAATCATGGGAAACCCCTGAAACGATCTCCGAAATCTTCTCCAGACCATCGCGGTCTTATATGCTAGCCCCAGGTAGTGCATTCTAGCCGTCAACATGCACTTATGCGCATGTTTTCCGATCCCTCATACCCAGGCAACCCAGTTGGCTCCGCGCCTTTTCTCCCTCGCATATTTACCCCGGTGCACTCCTCTTTCCATCCCCTCTCTTTTGCGACCTATTTACAACAACGGCGTGAACAAGATGAACCAAGGAATTCGATGTACCCGGGGCGGGGTACATGCTTCATCGCCTCGGGGCGTCAAAGATAGGGCAAGGCTATGATTGATGTGCCAATGTTATTATTGTTTTTTTTGGGCTTGTCCTTTGAATTGGTGGTATGTGGAGAGCTGGTCAACAGGTTTAGGGGAAACAGGTGAGCTTTTGCCTTACGAAATATGCAAAGTCTTGTAGAGATGAAGATGAGGCTGGGAGAGGCCAGATGAAATTTTTAGAGAACCACGAAATCACGTTTTCTGTAATACTTGTGAAAATGTAATTTCACGTGAATCAATTTAATAGGCAATCAAACCGAGTCCTGGCGACTTACGGACCAATTGATCAATGAAGATTCACGTTCTGAATTTCTGGGTGTCATTTGAAAAATCGCGCATTCACGAAAGTGTTTTACTAGCGGATTTTGAGCTTAATAATTGAATTGAATAGATTCGTTTACGCCGGGCAATTCAATCCATCGTGTAATCGGTTGGCAAATCATTGTCTGTTGGGCTAATTAGCATGGCAAGAAGGTCACGAGCGAGTTGACTAGCATGAGCCTTCCGAGCTCCTTAAGAGAAAATTAAGAAAAAAGAGAACTTAAGAAAAAAAAGAGGTTTTTACCGGCTGATCCCAGATTTTTCTACCTTTCTGATGCATATTTCTACGCTATTCTAAATCCGGCTCTCTTAATTGGCCTGAACACTCCACCCCAGCGGCAAGTTTTCCGACGAATTGCCTTCGATGAGCCTTGCGAGCCCCTTTAGTTGGGCTAATTAGCAGGAATCGGTAGAAAGTGAGCTTCCGAACCGGCTTTTTAATCTTTTTAATGGTTATCTCCACTGAATATCAAATCCGGCTCCCTTTTTTGGTCTAAACACTCCATGAATACTGAACTGAACCCACTTATACTTGTATGTAGTCAGGAAGGACTTTTGTTTTCGGTTTTCGGCAACTTGTTTATCCAGCCGGCTGGCTGGGGCCCCCTAAAAGGCACCCCCGAGGGCACCCGGCCCTGGGATGCATGCATTGCGCAACTCGAGACGGCTGTTTTCGGGCTTTTCCCCCAAGCCCCTCCTTTGGACGTAAACAAGAAAATGGTTCCCGCGTCTCCTCTGCACTCTTCCCTGTTTTTTTTTGGCCGGACTAAAATAACATTGAAATGTGTAGTTGGCCGGGGAAGCGCCGAAATTTGAGCCGCGACAACAATTTTTCGAGGCGGCGGCCGGGTGGGTGCTATTTTAATGTGCCGCCGGGGTGTCCGATAATTATGCCGGTCATCCGAGAGAATTGGCGTGAAAATTGTTGGATTCGATGTGTTTACGCCGGTGTTTTTTTCATGGACAGGATTATGTGGAATTCTGGGAGTGGTTTGTTTTTGTTGTTTTTGAGGTTTGGAATGCTTCCGGAGAATGATATAAATGAAAAAATAAGCAAAAAGCTTTTAGACATGATCTTTATAAGCTAAAATGAGTGAATATGGCAAGGGAATTTATTAAATATTCATTAAAATTGGTATTCAGGAATGAATTTTTATGGAACTCGGATGGGAATTCTGGGTTTGTTTCTGTCTTGCGTATTTTAAAATTGATGTGTGTTCAAGGTAGTGGGAACTTTTTTATTATACAAGGTAGCTAGCTGTTTTTATGCATTGCGGGTATCCTTGTTCCATTTTCTACTTTTCAATATCATGAGCCAAATTATCGGCTGCATGGGCGAGGTTGGAGCCCTGGTGCTCGATGGCGAGCTGGCGATCGCTAAAAACAGAGGATTATGCGAAATTTCTAATAGAAACCCTAACGAACTCAACCCTCTTACCGTATGTATCTGTAATACGAATAGGTCACCGAGCCACGCCAGAAAACATAGGCCAAGACAAGGGCCGCCAGGAGACAGATGGCTAAATTGGTTTCTAAGCTGAAGCACGATTTTTCATACCTAAAATTCCTCCAACAGTCTTTGGCACATCCATATGGTGGTCCTTGCTGAAGGTACTGAAACGTATAATTTTAGTTTTGGTTCATTTAGTTAAATTCATACTTTTCCGGAAGTACAAAGAAGATCAAGATCAAGATGCCGATCACCAATACCGTAGCAAACATTTGCATGACCTACAGCGATAAATTTTTCAGCGGTAAATCGTAAAATATGGAAAACTTACGTATAAAATCCAGTAGATTTGCATATGCATTGGTTTTAGGGTCATTAATGGCAGGAATCCGAGGATCGTGATTGGGATCGTGATGGCCAGGATGACAATCTGAACATCAACATTGAATTTTCCAGGGTTTTTTTTGACGTACCAAAGCCATCTGATTCTGGCCAGTCTCCTTCGTAGTAGTGAAGAGGCAGATAAGAATAAGAATCAAATCGACGCAGAGGCAGGTAATGTAGCCAAACTATAGAAAGTTTAGCGGATATTCAATTGAAAAAAATTTTATACCTTTGATTTTCCGGTCCCCCAGCAGCATCGATAGTTATCTTCGATCACGGGGGTCATCGGATTTCCGACGGCGTGCCAGCACCAGATCGCCATGTTTTCAGAGTTGGTTTTTTGTTGGATAATGCGTATCGTATCGTATAGCTGTAATTTTGTAGCTTAACAAGGTCGTTAAGAGGATGGTAGCGGAATTCTCAAGATCTTGCTACAAAAAAGGAAGCCGTGGGCAATAGAAAATCAGAAATTATGACAGAAAAAGAAATCCATTGTCTACCGTTTTTTAATTTGACTCGGACTTGGCTTGGAAAACCCTTTAAAATGCAATATAACCCAATTTTTAGATGACAAATACGGTAGCATGAAGTTTAGAAGACCTTCAGCCCGACTAAAGCCATGTGGCACAAGAGGTCTGTTGACTGCTACTGGAAACGATTCTCGAGCAGACGTCCTCCAACCCCCTCCATTTATCCACCCCGCATTTTCACGTTGGCTTTCCGGATGCGTGTCTCGTGTCCTCGTGGTGCCCTCGGGCTTCACAACAACAAGGCCCTGCCTAAAATTGGGGACTCGCCGGGGGGGGGACACCCAGAATATCCAAAACAACCCGCTGAGGAGAAAGATTGGGCACTTGGGGATTTTTTGGGACTGTGGGCCAAAGAACCACGGGATTGGAATGTGTAGCCTTGGATTACGTTATTATCGTGTAAAAATTTATTTTTAACCATTACATCAATGGAAATTCACCCCAGAAAAATTGGAACATTCAAAATCTTCTAGGAAAGTGGGTAATTTCGGGGAAACTTGTTAGGCACAAAAATCATGTTACATTCATCGAATTTTGCATATTATTGTAACTCATTCCCTCAGCTGCACTCGTTTCTGAAAAAAATACCATAGCAACGAAAGTATCTATTCTTACATGATGTATCGACAATATGCTCGCACAACTGTCGCCTGCCAAACGAGAAAAAGCACCGGAATTGTAAACAGAAAGGCGAGTCCTTAAAAACGTTATAAAAGGGCTGTAAGAATTTTTGACTTACCAATACGCTCCAGCAGTGACGAGCCGTCGTTATCTCTAAAGCAAGAAAATTAGAAGAAAATCGAGACGCTGTCTTACACAAGAATCAACACGATACCCAGGACCCCGGCGATCAGCATTAGCACCAAGAAGATGAGCTAAAATTGAACATAGAAATTTAATGCTTGGTTTAGATAAGTTGTGTTATTTTTTAAAAAGTCTACCTTGTTAGGATGGCAAAACTTACATAAATAATCGAGTAAATCCGAGCGAACCACGGCTTCTCAGCCAGGACCAAATAGAGCGCGAACCCGATCCCGATCCACGATATTGCCACGTGGGTTATCTAAATTTTTTTGGCATTGAAGATTTTTATTTGTTGCGTCACCTGGGCAGCGTTATGCGCACCAAATAACGCCCCAGATGCTCCCAAGGTCCCGAAAATGTTCAGCGCCAAAAAGATGCAGAATCCGGTCTAAAAAGTAAAAATTTGGTGAAAGAGCTTTACAAAAAAAGGTTAAAATTACCTTAACATGACTACACCCAAAGCAACATCGATATTCCGAATCACTCTCGTGATGCGGAATGTTAATAACCGGCATTTCCGGAAGAATTGGTTAAAATGATGTAGAAAGGAAGAAGCTAATGCTCTTGGAAGTGAAATGTTTTTGGCCGTTCGCAATGTGAAATGGACTGACAATGGGCGCCGAGTCACACATAAACAGCCCGGGTCGACCCCGACTTCCGTCGATCGATGCATTTATTGAAACGCTATTTGTGGCTGATTCATGCGGTAAATGAAAAAATAAAAAAAACATCTTCAAAGGCAAAATTTATTTGAAAAGTTGCAACAAGTTGTCATGCCCTTTTTGTTGTTTCAAGCGCTTTTCAAGCTGATGATACGGGAGCAGCTCCAAAATGTTCAATGGAGAGCTGGCGATCGCTGAAAAACAGGATAATTCTGTAGCTTGGGGATGAGGTTTGATACAGCGAGTATTAAATAGAGCTTTAGGAAATTATATAAAAACGCTACCGAATATAGCGATAATAGCTGCGCAGTAGTGTACCCTTCCAGACGATCGAAACGATGATGAGAACAAGCGTGACGGCGATGACTAAATTAAACTATGCAAAAGGAGGCCTCTATCTTTATCTCTCTCTCTCTCTCTCTCTCACTACACTCCTTCTCTCTCTCTGTCGCTCTCATGCTCCTACTTCCTATCTCTCTCACTCTCGCTCACGCTCCTTCTTTCTGTCTTTTTTTGCTTTCTCTCTATATCTCTCTCTATCTCTCTCTCTCTCTCTCTCTCTCTCTCTCTCACTTTCACTCTCTCATTCCTTCGCTCCTTTTCTTCCCCTCGATTTCTAAATTTAAGGCACATACCCATATAGGCAGCACTTTTGGCGGCCTGTAGCGTTGCCTGACTCCTCTGGTCTTTGCCTCCCATTTGTTTAATCGCCTCGTCCATGCTAAATTTATAATGTACATGGATGTGCGTAGAAATCCGTCGTATTTAATGTTTTTTTTCATAAAAGACCAACAGCGAACTCGCGACCGAAGCCAGGATGATGGCGACGATAAGGCCAACAATCGAGACGACGCATTGACCCAGCTAAAAACGGACTTACCGTAGTTTGGAAGGTATCGGTAAATTGATAAAATTACTATCGACTTATATTAATAGCGCTTACATAGATAATGATATAGGTCTGAATAAATGCTGGTTTTTCGGTGGATATGATCACGATGGCCAAAATTGCCATCATCCAAATGATCAGCACCTGGATAATCTAAAAGTGAGAATTATTCTGCTACCTTATAATTAGATTACGGTAAGAAGGCTATGATCGTTAATGAGCATAAAGGTATAGTAAAGTGCTCCAATGACGTCGAATACGGTAAAAACAATAAAACCAGTCTAGAGGCTTTTAAATAATTTTTCGAATTTTAGCTTACCCTGGCTTGACAGCATCCACAGCAGCATCTGTAGTTTGTACTCTCGACTTTTATGATGGGGTCGACTGCTGTCGGTTTCCAACACCACATTTCAGACGTTCTGAGCCTAAGCCTAATACTAAGCATAAGCCCAAGCCTCAGCCTAAGCCTCAGCCCGAGCACGAGCTTGAGCCTAAGCATAAGCTTAAGCCTAAGCCTAAGCCTAAGCCTAGGCCTAAGCAAAGCCTAAGCCTAAGCTTTGGCACAAAGGTCTAAAGCCAAGCAAATATAAGTCCAAAAAGTTGCTGATATAACTGTTGCGGATACCTTTGAAGAAGCCTGGAAGCACAACTTGCGCCCGATTTCCTTTTTTTGAAGCTTGTCTTAATTAGCACCTGCTCGATATTGGTTCGGATAGACAGCTGAAATTTGGGTGCGGGGTTGCGATACAGCCATTTGACGCTCAGGACAAGCCTCCCCGGGCAATTTACAGTGCGCGCTTTGGGATGGTGAGAGCTTTTGACGCTGACGGTTATAAAAAGGTGGACCTCGGTACGGTAGTCGAATACCGTCAAAAATCAACAGGTACGACAAATTTAGAGCTGGCCATACTGTAACCTTTAAGCTGCTGCATAGGGGCTAAGGTCCCGCTTTAGCGAGCTGTAGAGTTTCAATTGTAAAAAAAATGTATAAGAATTTATATAAATTATAAAAAATATAAATTTGGAACAACGATTAGATTTAACAAGAGCTTCAAGGTTTCAAGTATCGTAAGCCACCGGCCCGACGACGACAGCCCTCGGCGGTCCGTAGTGTTCGAGTGAGAGTTGACGATCTCTAAAATTCCATCAAGCCACAGTAGCTTGCCTATGCGTACCGTATGTAGTTGTAGTACGACCGCACAAGGGTAGCCTTCCAGAAAATCGACAGCAAAACAAAACCCAGGCTACATGACCAGGTGATATAAGCCGAATTCTTGGCATAACGGAACACTTCCTGGTCGTGGGCTGCCATTTTTTGGATATCTTTTTCGATTCTGGAAAGGGTGACGTAGAGGATACGTTTAATTCTTAACAGATACCTTTGAACTTAAAGCTATCTATTAGCTAGCTACTTACTCGAAATTTGCGAGCACTAGCAGGACGACAAATACAATTGAGCCGACAAGGGATACGGTGACATCGATAATCTAAAAAGTCATTTCTAGTCTCAAATTTAAGTACCAATTTGAGTTTTAAAGCTTACGTATATTACTGCATAAATTTGCATAAATATCGGGCGTTCGGTGCAGATGACGATCGCGGCGAGAACAACGACAATACAGAGAAACGAAGCTAATATGAACTAAGGCCAGGTTTTTTGCGCTTCAGATCTTTCATACCGTAATCCACATGGGATCTCGATAAACGGCATAAACATAAATGATCGTCGCCATTACATCAAGTAGAAAGTAGAGAAAGAAACCGCTCTATTTACAACTTTCGAAGAGGTCGAAAAACCAATACTTTTGCGTTACACCAATCGCAGCAGCATCGATACTCCCGGCTGATCACCTTCTGCTGGGGTTCGACATTTTTCGGCTTCCAACACCATATGAAGGGCATTGTCGGGATATTTAAGCTAATACCAGAAGACTTGCATCTTTAAAGGTTAGGAATAGGTTTCGCAAAAAGTGAACCCATGACTTTCAGGGGGCATTGGCCTTTTTTCACCTGCCTGGGAGCCATATAGTGTATTGTAATCGAGGACACAGGGATTCTGACCAAAATGTTTTCTCCCATCTGATCAACAGGTGTTGATGAGAAAAATGAAGCCTCAAAAGCTCGATTAAGGGTTGCGAAAGGTTGAGAAATATGTGGATACGAAAATTATACTTTTGACCTAAAAAATCGGTAATAAATACTATACAAAGGGGTGAGGTTAATTTGAAGGTTGGTTTTTACTTTATACGAGTTTTTGTGAAGATTTTTCGCCTTTTCTGTTTTCAAAATTACGGTATTCAAGTTGGTATTAGCGTATCTAAAACTAGCGTAGGCTGCTATCCAACACCCCTAAGGCCAGAGGCAGACGCCCGAAAATCCGGCAGACATCCAGTGGACCTGCCACATTGCATTGACAAACTACGGAAAGAGGCTTAAAGGAACTCGTTTTTGACGTATCTGACTTGGTCTTAAAATTTTTGGAAAGCTTACCTTACCAATTAAGATCTTACTTCAAAGATATAAGCTTTTCTAGCAAATCTACCTTGCTTAATTCGTCTATTCGACTCTTTTAGCTTTGCAAACGACCATCAACGACTTTATAACTTTCAGTTAAAGCCCTATGAAGTTCTTCTAACGCTCCGAAATGGCGGCCACCGCGGCAGGACCCTCGAAGCTGCAGCAGCTGGGCAGGGACGATTTACTGAAGCTTCTAAAGAAACAGGCTGAGCAGCAGAAGACGTTCAAAGAGCAGCTTGCTGTTGTTACCAAGGAGAAGGTATAGAAAAATTGAAAGAAAAAAAAAAAAAAAAAAAAAAAAAAAAAAAAAAAAAAAAAAAAAAAAAAAAAAAAAAAAAAAAAAAAAAACATAAAAAAATTAATTTTTTTTTTTTAAATATTTTTTTTTTTTTTTTTTTTTTTTTTTTTTTTTTTTTTTTTTTTTTAAAAAAAAAAAAAAAAAAAAAAAAAAAAAAAAAAAAAAAAAAAAAAAAAAAAAAAATTAAAAAAAAAAAAAAAAAAAAAATTAAAAAAAAAAAAAAAAAAAAAAAATTTTTTAAAAAAAAAAAAAAAAAAAAAAAAAAAAAAAAAAAAAAAAAAAAAAAAAAAAAAAAAAAAAAAAAAAAAAAAAAAAAAAAAAAATTAGGGGGGGAAGAAAAAAAAAAAAAAAAAAAAAAAAAAAAATTATTCAGTTATAGAAATTTTAGGACGATGCTTTGGCTCAACTCTCTATCGCATCCACGAGTAATGGCAGGGCGGAAACTCCCGGAAATGATAATAAACAGGAGGTGAGTACTGACGTTTAAATTTTAACGCAACTATGTTGTAGTTTGTAGTTAAACTAGGGCAATATTATTTATTTCAGCTTGAAGACCTCCGAACCGAATTCGAAGCGAAGCTGGCCAAGGAAAAATTCGCATCGCAGGAAGTCAACAGCTCTCTGAAAGCAATACAAATGGAACTGGCTGACTATGATAAACAAGTAGGCCTATAGAAAATTTAGTATTGAGGCTTTTCAGGTCAAAAACTTCAAAGAAGAAAAGGCGTCAATGGCTTCAAGGCTCGAATCTGCCCTGAAAGATAGGGATGAATTTTCAAAACGGCTAGTACAAGTCGAAGAAGAGCTGTCTAACGTAAGGCTGTCAAAACCCTGTATTAAATAATGCTAATTTAAGACCAAACAATTCAGCGAGGACTTGGAAAAAGCGTTGAGTATCGCTAAAGCAGAGGCTGAGGGTAAGTTCTTGAAAGTAGGTATTTGGGAACATTTAAATTTAGAGCTCCGGCTTCAAAAACAAGATGCTGAAAGCCAGAGGATAGAGCTAATGCAGACAAAAATGAACGAAGATAGTCATAGGTATTTTTGACGTTTTTATGGAAACAATAACGGGTATTGCAGCACAAAACAAGTGATGGATTTAACGAATGAACTATCACAAACATCTCAACAAATCGAAACTTTGCGATCTTCCTTGGCTTCCGTAAAGGTAAAGCCTTCCGGAGGTGTCGCTGAAAACATCTTTCATTTTCAGTCTCAACGTGACAACTTGGCTGCCGAGACAAAAATGTTGAACGAGAAACTGAATTCGGTGCAAGATGACCATGCTAAATATATGGTAAGCTTTAGGATACCATATAGAATTGAATATAATGTTTAAATCCTGCAGCTAAACCCCTTTTTAGGCCAAAACCAAGTTGATGTATGACGATACCTGGAAGAACATGTTACCCTCCAATTATGACAATCTCAACCACGAAATAGCTCAACTGAAGCAGAAACTAGAGGCTCGAGAAGCCGAGATTGAAAAGCTAAAGCATGTTTCTATCGAAAAGCTCTAAATATAAATTTTTAACTAGTTCTAATCCATTTTTTAGTGCCGAAGCCACGTCTCGAGCCGAAGATTCGGTTGGTTGGGCGGAAAAGCTAGCGAGATCCGAACGTGAAGCGAATAAATGGAAGACAGAAGGTCGGAAATTACGAGAAACGACAGAAACCACCCGTTTTAGCCGATTCAAACATGTCTTCCCTCACCCGTGCCATGGACGATTTGCGAGAGTTGAGATCTCGATATGAGAGCGCAATGGTCGAGGAGAAGAATCGTGGGATACAAGCCCTGGAGAGGGAGAAGCAGCTTCAGCAGGGGAATTTGGACAAGGTACGGGTTTCTGAAGATGTAGTTTTTCAATACGACCAATTTAAGGTTTTCCACGAACGAAAACAAGACCTCATGCGCTACGAGCAACAGGATTTCCAACAAAAATCGGAGATTGATACGTTGAAAAGGGAGCGGGACGATTTGCAGAAGAAATTGGATACTGCCCAAGTATGTCAAAAGCTTTAGTTAGTTTTTAATATATATTTGAAGAAAGCGATCCCAAGCAGTAGCACACCAACTCCCGTAACTCCCTCACATCAACAAAGATACACCGAGAGCCGAGAGCCCAGACCGGTGCAGCAGACCTAGTAAGTGAAATTAACGATTGGCACAATATGCCTAATTATCAGGGTTGTTCACCGACGGACCCGGATCGGTAAGGATCCGGATCGGATCTGGATCCGGATCCGGATCGGATCCGCAGTAGGATCCGGATCCAGATCCAGATCCGGATCCGCTCGGATCCGGATCCAATGCGGATCCGAGGAAAAAAGGGACCGGAAGTAATATTCTCGATTCTGATGCTGATTCGGTCATGTTAATCGCAAAAATACATAGCCCAGAGGCAGAACTGATCTTTGCATCTAAGAATTAGCACTTAACTCGGTTGCATGATCCATTTCCTTGGATCCGGATCGGATCGGATCCGCCCTGGATCTGGATCCGGATCCGGATCCTACGGCGGATCCGGATCCGGATCCGATCCAGATCCAGATCCGGATCCAGTCCGATCCGAAAATGACCAACCCTGCTAATTATGCTTTAACAAGGTATGATCATCCATTTTTCAGCTCCTCAATCAGTGACTTCCGGGAATCCCCCGAACCAATTCCCGAAACAACCCTCCATGACGTCCTCTTTGGAGAAAAACAGTCCGATCGGGTCGAGGGATCGATTTTCGGGGATGAAAGCTTCTCCCTGGCTACGATCTCTGAAGTAAAAGATACACTAAAAGTGGCTGAGCAGCAGGTAGGATCATCGCCCTAATTTCCAGAGCAAAATTCTCCTTTAGAATACAACCCTTCGAGAACTTCTAGCTGATAGTGAGGGTCAAAACGAGCTGTACAGTAACCAGGTAAATATTTGAGACCGGGAGAGACGGTGAGAGCGAGAGAGAGCGAGAGAGAGAGAGAAAGCTAGAGAGAGTTGGAGAGTGATGGAAACATCTAAACGGTCCATTTAAGATTTCCGTCCTCAAAGAAGAAATCCGTCGAATTCAACGAAATTCTGAACGAGAAAATCACATCAACAACACCGAATACATCAAAAATATTATTTTCCAGGCAAAGAAAAATCTTAATCAACAAATACCGTTTTTCTTTAAGTTCATGCGGCCCGAAAAAGTGGCTGGAGAGCGGAGGCAGCTGTTGAATATTTTGAGGACGATGTTGCAATTGAGCGATGAAGAATATCGGACAATGTATGATATGACGACGGAAGCAGGTAAGGGTATTCTCTCTCTCTCTCTCTCGCTGCCTCTGTCTCTCTCGTTATTTATCTCCCTCGCTTTCTCGCGCCATCCCTCTCTTTCATCTCTAAATTTTCAGCTTCACCCGATGCCTCCAGCTCCTCCGGCTTCTCCTCGTTCTTTCACCGATGGAATGGGTTATAAATTCGAAACAGTGAATTTATTATTCCGGCATCTGCAATGTTCTATACCCTACCGGCTTACTTATCTCAACACACTGCTGCTTTGTCTAATTTATTGAAGTCGTTTCTGGACAAAAACCTCTTGCACCCTGTGATACGTATTCGCCAATTTGCAATTCAATCTGCTGTGATGACGGGGAAGTATAGTATTTATGATTATTTTGCTTATGGATAAATGGTCTAAACAATCATATTAAGCTATGATTTCATAAAATTAACACAACATAGAAAACCCGCAAAAAAATCAAGAAAATAACGAGGGCAGAGTCCTAAAATTGGTTGTTCAAGGGGTATCGATGGATTTTATGCAAATACCAACCCTCTATCGAACAAGTTTGAAAAATCTGCCGTCCGGATGTAGCGAGTGACAGAACGTGTCCTGGAGCTACGAAAATCAGGCCACTTCCTACCATAAAACATCACTTATGATC